AGAGCCAGAGCGCGGACGGGAAAAGGAGCCATTGTGGCTCAGCCCCGGGGATTAAGAGCTACAAATTGGACGTGGAGGGCTGTGGCCATTGACTGCGGGTTCCCAGGGGGGAGCGGCCGGCGGCCTGTGCCTGCGCCGTGTCCCGGCTGCCTGCTGGGGCTAATCCCCTGGGAGCCACGGCCAAGGAGACCCAGAAACGCCACTGCTGTGGGGAGAGGCTGCCTGACTCCTAGTCCCGGATGCTGGGGGCAGCCGCCCTGAGGAGGGGTGGGTGGCTGGGAGGTGGCCTGGGTGCTGTGTCCGTGGGTTCCCTACTGATGGGCATCCCTGTGTGCTAGGGCAGTGGCAGGCCCCGTGCGTGTCTGAGATTTGGGGCGAAGAGAATGGGGCCCAGGGGCAGCAGCTTGGGTGACTCAGAGGTCCCTGATGGAGGAGGTGTGGCCTGGTGAGCACAGTGGCACAGCCCCTCCCCCGGCAGGCCCAAATGGACGCAAAGTGTGCGTGTGTGCGTGTGAGTGCGTGTGCATGTGTGTATGTGCATTCGTGTGTGCATGTGCGTGTGCGTGTGCATGTGCATATGTGTGTGCGTGCGTGTGCGTGCGTGTGTGTGTGTGTGTGTACTTGCCCATGATGGAGCAGGGTGCTTGAGAACAGCCCTTCAGAGGCGGCTGGAGGGGCTCTGCAAATTGTAATCAGATTAAGGGGACCAATCACTTAGGGCTCTTGAAAAGGCCACAAGGTTTCTAATCAGCCCTGAGCACCGGCCCACAAAGCCTGGGGAACTCAGCGGGAGCCACCCGCCAGGGGGCCCGGGGGTGGGGTGTCTTTCTTCCCTCTCTGTCTCTTGTAATTATGTCAATTTGCTAGCCAAATTGTTTGCTCGAGTGGACGAGTGGACGGGGGCTTGTGCCCCATTCATGTGGTAATGTGGGAACCACAGCCTCCTGGCTGGGAAAATGGAAAGTTCCAGGACCCTCCTTCACGGAGCAGGCGGGCCCAGGGGTGTGGGGCGCCCGGGCCTCACCAGCCTGGGGCCTTTTTCCACAAATTCCAGAAACGTCCAGCTTGGATTGTCCTCTCGGCTGACCCTTTGGGCTGGCTGAGGTGAAGTGTGGGGACAGAGGTGAGGACGGCCAGAGGGGGAGGGTGGGCAGCTCTGCGCCCCCAGCGTCGGGTCCCACGGGGGACAGACTGAGGCCTGAGCGGCTGGGGAGGGGCACGGGAGGTGCCAGAGAGATGGGGTCCCAAAGGGGTGAGGCCACCACACACGGACTCGGGAATGTGTAGAGACTGGAGAGAAAGTTCTTACCAGTTTCTGGAGCCTTTATGTCGGCCCCAGTCACTTCACCACCCTTTGCGTGCACAGTGGCTCACCGAACCTGACAGCGACCCGGGGAGGTAAGCGCTGGGTGTCCCATTTCGCAGACAAGAACACTGAGAAGGTAAGTGCCCAAGACCACTAGCTAGTACAGGAGGAGGAGAGATCGGAACCCAGCTCTGTCTGGTCCTTCCGCCCTCTGCCCCGCCCCCGCCCCCTGCGTCCATTCCTTCCCTCCCAGCTCTGTCTGTGTGAGGCATGGAGGACGCAGAGGACTGAGATGGCCCGGGGAGGGCGCGGTCACGGGGACCGTTAGCACCGGCTCACTCTCAGCACGGGCTGTGGGCGCACGGCAGTGTCACGCACTGGACACATTGCTCAGGAGCGGTGTCGTTAGGAACAGTGGTTGTCATCGGTCCAGACACCGAACCTGCTCCGGGTGCATTCCCCTGCCTCCTGGGCTACCCGCCTCCCCAGGTCCCCCTTCAGCACGCGAGGGCCCTTCCTCTCTCCCTGCGTGTGAAACCCCCGACACCTGTGCTTCTCAGCTTTGGGAGCCCTGTCCACCGGGCCGCTCCCCACTGCACCCACCTGGCTTGTCCGTTTCCCTCCACAGGGGAAGAGCCCCGTCCACAGATGCTCACAGGCCACTGCCTGGCACACGCCACCGCCCTGACCTCGCCACTCTTCCTGTTCCATCTGGGGCTGTCGAGCTCTGCCTGCTGGGAGCTGGCAGGAGGCTGCAGTGCGGGGTGGCAGTGGGAGTTGGAACATGGAGAGAGATCCCGGTTGGGTGTGTCCACAGCCACGGCTCAGCACGCCTCATCCCCCAACTGGGGGAGAAAGCCAGAGTGCACCTTTATTACCATATGGGATGATGGCCAGAAATCCTGTCTTCTTAGAGCAAATGCAAGTCATTAGGCAGTTACCATGGGACTCTCACTGGGCCAAGTCTGGGAGGCAGGGGTGCAGGGGGGCCCAGGCACTCTGACCGCAGGCTTCCACAGCCCTGCTGGGGAGGCAAGCCGAAAACGGCTGTCACTGGTCAGGACAGGAGAAGACTAAAGACACAAAGCGCCTACTATGTGCCAGGCACAGTTCTAGGCACTTTACTTTGGCAATAATCCCTTGAGGTAAATGGTTTATTATCCCCATTTTATCTCATAAAGAAACTGAAGCACAGAGAGGTTGAGTAACTTGCCTACAGCCACACAGTTAGCTGCACAGCAGGCCCCCAACCTCACTCCCTTCCCTCCTGGCAGAAGCTACAGGGAGCCCATGGATTCAAAGGGGCAAACAGAAGAATATCCAGCCCAGCTTCCCCAAGGCCATGATGTCTAAGCTGCTTCTGAAGGACCAGTCAGAATTATTCGGGCAAAGGATCGGGGGGGCAGAGGGACCCGCTTCTGGGAGGTGACAGAACATCTAGCTCAGGAGCAGTGAGGCAAGAGGCCAGAGGGGAAGGACAGACCCAAGGGCAAACTTGGATCCTATACTAAGGCTAATGGGAACAAGTCATTGAAGAATTTTAAGCAGCAGGAATTTTAAGACAAGCTCAAGAACAGCAGTGTCCACTCCCCCTTGCTGTTGGGGATGCCAGCCCTCGAGTTTGCTCAGTTCCAGGAATTAGCCTCACTCCGTTCTGCCTCAGGGCCTTTGCACAGGCTGTGCCACCATGCCTGGAATGTTCTACCTACCCTGCCCCATTCCATTGACCTCATTCATTCCTACTCATCCCTGCACTCTATCTACATAGCAGTAATCAAGTCTGTGACGTGTATTTCTTTGTGTGATTAGCTATCTGCCGGTCTCCCCAGTAGAGAGTTCCACTAGAGCAGGGACCCTGTCTGCCTGGCACATTGTAGGGCCTCAGTACTTGTCAAACGAATGAATGAATTTCAGCTACACTAGGTGAATGGGGTAGAGGACAGGAAGCCGAGATACCGGGTGTGAACGGGTTAGAGGACCTGAATCTACCACTCACAGCATTTCTCCCCGAGTTGAGCAGGGGCTAGAAGAGTGGAACCCCAGATGCCACCTAGAAGAGTCCTTTCTCCAACCCCCTGCCACCCTGCATGCCAAAAAAAGCTGGGAGGTTGTGCTTCAAGTTGGGGAAGGGATAACCAGAGGGAGGAGTGTGGGCACAGCACTGCCAATCCCGATGACAGGTGGCAAGACTGTCGTCCTTGGAGCTTGCTTTGGGTGCAGAAGAGCTGGCAGGACCCCCCTGCTCACCCTCCCTGCCTCACTTGCTCACACATGTGAGCGTGGTTTATTTGTCTCTGTCCACCCCTTACCTGTTCCCCGAAGGTGCCAACTGAAGTGAAGCTACCATATTCGAAGCGTTTGTGCCTGAATTTAGCAGAAACCCCCTACCACTCTCCTAAACAAAGATACAGAGCTAAGACCACAGGGCTGGACCACACAGGAAAAACATTGCTGTCCTGGCCAACTGGCAGAGACTAATTGTCCCACAACATCCATTCTACCCTTCTTAACTAATGGTAGAATTTTAAGTGGGCACAAGGACTCTCATTATAAAACTACATTTCCCAGGTGCCCCTGCAGCTAGCTTATGGTCACATGACCAAGCTCTGGCCAATGAGTGGAAGTAAGTGGAGTATACAAATTTCAAGTCAGGCTCCAGATAGGAAGCCCTTTCCTCTTCCTACCAGCTGACAAGCAGATGAAATTGAAGTTGCATGTTAACAAAGGCAGAGCAACAAGACAGAAAGAGTCTGGGTCCCTGATAATTACTGGGCCATCACTCCAGCACTAGGCCATCTACCCAGACGTTTTTTTTTTGTTTGTTTGTTTTTTGTTTTTTGTTTTTTTTTGAGACAGAGTCTCACTTTGTTGCCCAGGCTAGAGTGAGTGCCATGGCATCAGCCTGGCTCACAGCAACCTCAATCTCCGGGGTTCAGCGATCCTACTGCCTCAGCCTCCCGAGTAGCTGGGACTACAGGCATGCGCCACCATGCCCGGCTAATTTTTTGTATATATTTTTTTAGTTGGTCAATTAATTTATTTCTATTTTTTGGTAGAGACAGGGTCTCGCTCTGGCTGGTTTCGAACTCCTGACCTTGAGCAATCCGCCCGCCTCGGCCTCCCAAAGTGCTAGGATTACAGGCGTGAGCCACCACGCCCGGCCTACCCAGACGTTTTATGTGAAAGAAATAAGCTTTTTATTGTTTAAGCCCTATTATTTGGGGTCTTTTTGATACAGCAACCAAACTGATGTCCTGACAAATACACCAATCCCTGGTGGGAGGGACAGGAAAGGCTCTGAGAAGGGTGTGTGGGTTGGAAACACACTCCAGAGTTGTGAGCATTTATGAATCTCAGTCCCCAAATGTATGAATCTCATGTCCACAAGGAACAATGCTTAATGGTTCTGCCACTCCTTTCTCCTCTCCCCAGACTGGGAGATTTTTTCTCTATTCCAAGGGTTTTGGAAAAAGGAGAATACCCTCCTTCCTCCTCTGCTTCTCCAAGACATTCTGTCTTTGGCCACAAATTGGAATTTTTTTTAGGGACTTAGGCATTGGGAAGCTGAAGCCAGGAGGATGGGGAACTCACCTCTGTTTCCTGGGCTGCCACATCCCAACATGATGGCAGTGAATGAACAACTGACGATCCACTTGAATGGGGGCAAAGAAAGAAAAATACAGGCACAGAGGAAGGACATACACGGATAGCTGTTTACTCGGGCTCAGTGGCACAAATGTCATTGGGGAAGGGCCCAGAGTGACAGCCACAGTGATTTCAAAGTGAGGGAAGAGATACAGTTGTGTCCAAGCCCAGAGACAGCTGGCTTCACTAGACAATATGTAGGAGGTGATTCTTGGTTTGTTCATTAGCATCTTGATACAGGAAAAAAAGTAGATGCCTGACAGCCAAACCAACTTAGCTTTAAATCCATCTTGCTAGTAATTACATGTTTGGTCTCGGGCAGATCACTTCATTTCCTTGAGCCTCAGTTTCCTCACCTGTAAAACATGGGAAATATCATCTATCTCAGAGTGAGTTGAAGCATTAAAGGGGATAATTAGCACATAGCAGCTTGGCAACAAATGCTGACAAGTACAGTGGAATGTCACATTTGATGGTACACTACTACTATTTGTGTAGAACAATGATATATATGTTATGTAAACTATTCAATAAACATATATGTGTACATATATATCTTATCTCCCTCCTCTCTATATATATGTGTGTGTGTGTGTGTGTGTGCACATATATATATATATAATGGACAGACACTTAAGGTGGCCCCATGGTGCCCACTTGCTGGTATTCATGCCCCTGTACAACCCCATCTCCTTTTTCCTTCTCTTGGCAGGACCTGTGTCTTGCTTCTAACCAATAGAATACAGCAAAGGTGATGGGATGCATGTGATTCTGTGTACGTGATTATATGATTATGTCACACAAGATTCTAGTACTCACCTGGCTGGAGTCTCTCATGCTCTTGCTGGCACTGATAAGGCAGGTGACCATGCTGGGACCCAAATCAGAGTAGCCCCTAGATACTGAGGGCAGCTGATGGCCATCAAGGAAATGAGCCTCCCATCCTGTAAGCACAAGAAACTGACTTCTGCCAAGAGCTGCAGGAGCTTGGAAGTGGATCCTCCTCTAGTCAGCCTTCCAGGTGGGGACCCAGTCCTGACCCGCACCTTGATTTCAGGCTTGCAGGGGGCCCAGCTAAGCCATTCCAGGACTCCCGGCCCACGGAAACTGTGAAATAATAAATACATGCATCTTACGCTGCTGAGTTCGAGGTAACATTGTTATGCAGATAACTATCTGCCTACTATCACTCGTAAGTGATATTTGTAAACACCCACACCCCACACACGGCTGACCAAGTGTGGTGTCCCATCCCCCATCACAGTGATGGGCGCAGATAAGGGCACATGACACGAGCTAGGCCAATCAGATTCCTTCCCTGGGATTTTGCACATGGAGGCAGAGGAAGAGGAAGGAGCCTTTTCTTTCCTCTAGGCTTGCTCCGATGGTGTGATGCAAGCTTATGGCTGAACAAGCCATGTTCTCCTACTGCCTGGAGGAAACCCTCCACAGCAGGAAAGAATGAACTGCCTCACTAAGAGGAGGCCTGAGACACAGGAAAAGAGGAAAAGAGGCTGGTTGATACTACTTGAGTGACGGGGACCCTGTCACACCTGAGGCCACATCCCTAGATTTCCCAGTTGCATGGGCCGTTAAATTCCTCTTTGTGCTTCTCTTGGCTCCTCTCCCAGACCCTGAGCTCCTGGAGGCCAGGGAATCTGCCAAATTCCTGACAGCGTCCACTGTATCCCGGCTCAGAAGGATTTTCCGGAATAAGTACAGCGAATGGTGTCTGCAAGGAAGAGTTTCATTATATGGCCTTGTTCAGTCTTTGCAAACAAGCCTGCACAGTCATGACTGCATCCGTTGGCCACTTTTGGCTATATATAACAGAAAATCCCAACCAGGAAATGGCTTAAATCATAAGGGGATTTATTAATTCACGTATCGAAAACATTCTAGGGATATTCCAGGCTCCGGGCACAGTCCCATTAGGTTTTGCTTTCCCGTGGGTCTCATGGCCCCACCTCCACTTGTCATCGGCCTCAACCTGACGTCAGGATCAAGGTGGTCACAGCAGCTCTGGTCATCACAAGTGAAATTATATATATGCCTATGTTGGTTTCATTTTAGTTTCAGGGTTTGTTTGTTTGTTTTTTTTTAAGACAGGGTCTCACTTGGTCGCCCCAGCCAGAGTGCAGCAGAGTCATCATAGCAACTTCAAACTCCAAGGCTCAAGCGATCCTCCTGCCTCAGCCTCCGGAGTAGCTGGGACTATAGGCACACACCACTACTCTGCTAATTTTTCTATTTTTTTGTAGAGGCGGGGTCTCCCTCTTGCTCAGGCTGGTCTTAATCTCCTGACCTCAAGCGATCCTCCCGCCTTGTCCTCCCAGAGTGCTAAGATTACAGGCAGGAGCCACCATGCCTGGCCTTCGGGATTTTTCTTTTTGGTGGTGTTATTTTGCAGCTCATGTACCTTGTGTTTAGCTCATTTTGAGAATATTCTCTAATTCAGTGGTCCTCAGAGTACAGTCTGGGCCACCGCCACTACCAGCACGTGGGAACCTGTTAGTCCTTGGGCTCCCTCGGCCCCAACCTGCTCAATCAGAAACGCTGGGACAATCTGGGTTTTAACTGACCTCCGGGTGATCCTGGTCTGTGCTCAAAGTTGAGACCTATTGCTCTAATTTATTTAACTTATTCCCTTGTTGGTGGACATCCAAATCGTTTCCAATTTCTTGTCATTAAAATTTGTGCTACCATACATCCGTTTTGATGTGTTTGGGCATCCTGTGAGAACATCTCTCTCAAAATTTTCTTGGTTAATTTTTCACATTGACTTTTCCAGATGAACTTCAGAGTCTGCTCATAAATCCCAGTCTCAACGGTATGGCACTGAATACACGCTTTATTTTGGGAGGGATTGACATCTTGACAGTATTGAGTTTTCCCATCAAGTACTGCAATCCTGCAAGATTTTAAGTATAAGTCACATAATTACATGGAATTTAGGCATGCTTTGTTATTATCCCAAATATAACACTTGTGGAAGATGTCGCAGTGGTCTTCTCCTTTCCATGAATCTTATGAAACTGGGGGCATAATCATGAAGGGTCAAGTGTATGGTCATCCCGTTCTTCTTGGGATTGTCTCATTTCTTACGCTGGCTTCTCAGTTGTGATTCAGGTAAGCTTACGTCTCTTTCTGAGAGCAAAGAAACCTTTCCCAGAAATCCCCCTAACAGATTTCTTCCCATGTTTCACTGGCTATGGCCATTTTGAAACATGGCCCCCAAATCCTTTGATACTCTTCCTTCAAGAGATGAAGTCTACACCTTCCCTTGAATCTGAGCTAGGTGGCTGCTTGACCAGTAGACTATGACGAAATGACATTGTGCTGATTTCTTAAGGCCCAGACCTTAAGAAACAGTCAGCTTCTACTTCTTGTCTCTTGGGACACTCTTGGAACCCAGCTGCCATGACCTGCGGAAGTCCAAGTAAGGAGGAATTGACGTCCCTGGCCCACGGCCTAGGCTGAGGGACCGGCCCCCAGCCCGCACCAACTTGCCAGCCACGTGAGTGAGCCTTCTTAGCAATGGATCCTCTAGTCACAGTCAAACCTCCCCAGCTGACACCATGTGGAACAGAGATAAGCTGCCCCCACTGATTCCTGCCCCCATTACAGATGTATTGAGCAACACTAAAGATTGTTGTTGTTTTAGGTTCTGTTTTTTTAGACAGTGTCTCCCTCTATCACCCAGGTTGGAATGCAGTGGCATCATCATAGCTCACTGCAAGCTCAAACTCCTGGACTCAAGCCACCCTCCTGCCTCAGCCTCCTGAGTAGCTGGGACTACAGGTGTGCACCACCATGCCCAGCTATTTTTTCTGTTTTTCCTAGAGATGGGGTCTCGCTGTGTTGTTCAGGCTGGTCTCAATTCCTGGCCTCAAGTCATCCTCCCACCTCGGCCTCCCAAAGTGCTGGGATTACAGGTGTGAGCCACGGTGCCCGGCCTGTTTTGAGTTTTGAGGTAGTTTGTTAGGCTGCAGTAGGTTAACTGTGCCAATAGCCCAACACATTTCAATGCCTGAATCAGCCACTGGCATGGGGACTGGCCCCCTCTGAATGCCTTAAACCATCCAGAACCCTCCCCTTGAGCGTGGGGCTGGGGCTCTAGGGCTGGGTTATCCTTCCCTGAGCCTGGGACAGAAGCGGGCCCAGCCAGCAAGGATGACAGGGATGGCTGCTGGTGGGTGACCAACACTTTCCACTGAGGACGTTAGGTCCAGTGAGGTGACGTAACTGGGCCAAGGTCATGCATCTGGTATGTGGCAGAGCCAGAACTTGAACCCAGGCTGTCCCCCAGCCATGAGGAGCAAGTCTGAAACTGTCACTGCCCATAACCTCTCCTACTCACCCTTGAGAAAGTGCTCCAACGCCCCCTCCTCCATGAAGGCCTCCCAGATGCCATTCCACCACGGGCACCCCTCCCAAATAGCACGTGCCACCTTGTAGTCTCCTCACATGCTTATCTGGCTGCCAGCAACAGGACAAAATATCCACAATTTGTGTCTGTCTCCCCGGGACACAATGGAGTGCTTGGCACAGAGTCCGGATTAGGTCCAGTGGGGGCTTGTCTTCTGTGAGGTTGGAGCTAGTGCTCGAGGTGAACTTCCAGTACAGTCAAGATTACCCGTGGTGGGCCCTCAAAGCGCCCAGCAAGTCGGTGTACGTGGTTTTATATATACAACTCCACACAGAGATATATGTGTATAAATGTATAATGGGTGTTCTAATATGTAGTGTACAAGAAGGACCACATATTTAACTCTACTCGTACAGTATTTTTAATTTAAAACATTTTGAGTGTGAACTATTACATGCACACAAATTAACTGCAAGCAAGATGAACACTATGGTGAATGTTTGCTAGAAGGAGGGACCAATCATGGAATAAGCAAAAGGGGGTCTGGCCTCTCCCCTCATCTTTCCCCTTAAACATCTCACCGGTTGGCCAAGCTTCGTGTGTCTTTCTCTTGTGCCTGAAGTTCCCCCACCTGAGTCACTGAGAACCACGACACAGGGGGGAAGTGTCCCAAAGGCCACAGTATGAGCGGCACACTGGCCCCGACACGTGTTCCTGCCACTCTGAGTGTCTGCTAAACCCACTGCTATGAAAGATCTCTCAGCTGAGGCCCCAGACACAGCCGGAAGATGGATTGTGCATGTGCATGTGTGCGCGCGCGTGGGTGTGTGTGCCCGCGTGCACGCGTGTGCGTGTGGACTTACACACATGCGTATCTGCTGCTTCGATAAGGACCTGGCATTTCCCACATTCCTAAGAGATGCCACCGTGGAGTCTAGCAGGCAGAGCTGGCACAAATGCCAACCAATAGGCCCTATCCCATCGGTCCAGGGAAGGGAAGGACAAGGGAACCTCTGGTAGTTTCAATCCTGTCCTCTAGAGCATGCTCGGGATGGTGCGGGGGAGGAGAAGTTTCACTTTTCACCTGATCCGCTCCTGTGCTGTTGCAGCAAACATGTTTTTCACTTAGCATCCTAAAAGCTAATGATATTTTTAAAACAATGTTTAAGAATTTGGAAGATTCTCTCTCACCTGTTCTCAAATAAATTTAAATTCCTTTGGTGGGTGGGTGGGGCGCCCCATCTGCAGAGACCCCCATCCCAGCAAGAGCCCCAGGCCAGCCTGGAGTCTGCGTGGCTGGTCCAGCCTGGGCGGCTCTGGCTTCCCTGGGCTTCGAGGCAGGTGGGCGCCGCCCTGGTTCCAGAGCAAAGAGCCAGTCATGGGGAGGGCGCTGATTCTCTGATTCTTGCCCCTCACAGCAGAACCCTGGAGACCCTCCCCTGCCGTCCTCCCCTCCCGCCTCCGCTCTGCTGTGTCTCTCTCCCGCTGTCTGTCGGTCTGTCTGTCCCAGCTCCCTGTGCCAGTCTTACCGTGTGGCTCTCCACCTCTCTCCCCCCATCTCCCTCTCTCTGTCTTTGATCCTCGCCCCGTTTCTCTCTCTGTATGTTGGCTCTCCCTCCCTCTCTCCCTCTTTCTCCCGTCTCTGCGTCTCTCTGGTTCTCTCTGCAGCTGTCTCTTTCCATGTCTCCTTTTCAGCCTCTCTTTCCCCGTGGTCTCCTCTTCCTCCCCGTCACCCTCT